GCCTCCCGAGACTCACCACGCAGGAGGCTCGCGGGACAGCCCAGCTCCGTCCCCAGCCTGGCAACGCCGGAAAGCCAGGAAGCAGCAAACGCTTCCCACTTTGCAGCACCGGAGGTGCGTGGGGATGCGTGCGAGCGGGGATGTGCCTGGTGTTGGAGGTGTTAAAATTAGCTCTCACTTCTTTCTGTTGCACCTCAAAGACGAGGTTATTTCTGTGCCTGCAACAATGTGGGCAGAAGGAGGCTGAGTAGCCTGTGGCCTCAGCATCCCTTCCTGGCTGCCAGCAGAGCCGAGGAGGAGCCTGACCCACATCTGGTCCGACGGAAAAGCAGGAAATGCAGGCTGTGCGCAGCCTTCAGCACGCAGCAGGCAGCAGCACAGGCTTTTACAGCACTAATAAGGGGTCCAGCCCTTTTCTATAGAGTAACCGTGAAGCCAGTTGGGGAGAAACTGGAGCGTTCAGGCGCTGGCCTGACACCCACTCCTGCCCCCTCCACACAGGCTTCCGGCCAGTGCAAAGGGCTGACTGTCGCTTCCCGGATCCCCGTCACCTGCAGGGCCCGAGGCTCCGGCAGTTGCGAGGGACACAGTTAACAGACCCCACGACACCTCCTTCCTCCTGCCAAGATGCGACAGTTGATATTTGTTCCCAGTCCAATGCAAATCACTAAAACTGTCACATCTCACATGACAGGCGATAACGTCCATGTACAACAGTAGCTTATGCGCTGGACTAATTAGATCAGACCACATTTACAGCGCTACCGTCGTCTCCTGGCTACTACCAGGAGCAAATTCGAACCCTGCGGTCTGCTCAAGCCCTCCGTGTCTCAGCAGCACGGACAGCGGGTGCCAGCCGCAGTGGGTTTCTGATGCACGGGACTGCCTTACCCAAGAGAAAAACAGCCTCCTCCTCTGCCAGCCTGGGCCAAGGCCTGCCAAACTCGTTTCACTGACTGTTCATTAGCTGTTTCCCAATTCAAAAACATCGAAACAACTTGCTCCTCAGGTCTGGCACACCTCACAGTCTCACACACTAATGTGTACATCAGGATCGAAACAACAAGCGAGAAAAACAGCACTTGCCAAAACACCTGGTGACAGGAGCAATAAATAAAAGTATCTCCCAGGCAGCATGGCCTCACATACCCCATCCTGAGAAGAGCTACATCGCAAGCTCTTGGCTGCCAGAAGGACAGACTGAAGCCTTCTGCTGGCAGGTGGCAACTCTGTAACGTGCTCCCCAGAGCAGAGACAAACTCAAATCTTTGCTTTGATCACAGAGGTTTCAGGGCAAAAAGGTGGTTAAGAGGGTCAAGGCTGTCCAAAGCACCCCCAGCTCCCGCACGTCAGTGGAGTCCACCTCTTGGAGATAGCCAAGACTTCTCTGCGGCGTTTCTCACCCCCAAACTGGGGATACCTGGAAGAGGGTGCGTTGCCCAAACGCTGCCTCATCAAGAGCAGCTAAAGCAGGGGCAGCCCCAAGGCCAAAATGTAACGCAACAAGGACAAGGCCCCCAAACAGGTCTATGCCTGCATGAAAGCGTGCACACACACAGAAAGGGGCCACACTTTTTAGAGGCCTATGTCCAGTTCGGGCTATATTCGGGCTATCTCAGTGACAGCCCCAGAGCAGTCCCAGCCCCGGCTCCGCTCACTGCCCTGCCCAGGAGAGAGAGGGACAAGGCACAAGCAGGGAACTCGCAGCCCCGCTGCGGCAGCCTCACTCCGCGGTTACACGTTGATGCTGTCACTTTCATCGGGGCTGAGGAAAGTCAACAACTACAGCCTCCCTTGCTATGCAAGGCCCAAACCGGCATGTTACCTAACTTCTAGAGCACAAAAGGAGGGGACGACTGGACTGCTGGACTAAGGAGATGGTCACAGCTGGGAGGTGACAGGCTTGCAGAAAAAGGCAAGAGAGCTGAAGATGCAGGAGGCAACATATAGGGCTGGAGGGGAACTAACTCAGCTTGCAGGAGAAAGGAAGCACAACAGGAGGTAGGAGAAATCCAGCCTGGGAAGCTGGCTGGAGCTGGGGCAAACAGCCAGACTGGAAAGATATGGACAGTGCTGGGAGATAAGGCTGATAAGAACCGGGAGCATGAGGAGCTGTCGCGAGGGGAGGAGAGGAAGAGTGGGCTAAAGCAAGGGCAAAAGGCAAACCCGACGTACCAATACGGAAGTGCACAACCGCTGGGGAACTGCCATTTGTGCTGCACATGTGCGCTGCAAAGGACACCACAAGCTTCCTGCCTGCCACAGTAAGTGAGAACTCTTGATTTTTCATGGAATCAGGCTTTTGGGGGTTCTGGTGGAGACTGGAAACCTGTAGGATTTTTTGGACTGACATCCAAGGGGTATCACTGACACCCCTGGGAGCACTGGACGTGAGTGGACGTGGTTTTTGTGTTTCAGGTAGAAGAATGACACTACATTGAATGGAGCAGCCCTGATCCCCTCGACCAATTAAGCACAAGCAGGATGCTTTCCCATCCGCTCCAAACATGAAAGGCGTGGAGCCCCAGAGCCTACATTTTAAAGCCTGATCCAAATTCATCCGCAATGATCTCCAGAGTCAGAACTGCAATCTGGAAGAGTTCAGCCTCAAGATTTCTCGTCTTTCTTTCTTACAGAGCTTTCCCCTTTGAATGTGGGACAATAACTTCCATCAGACTGTAATTCAGTCAAATCAGTTCATGCCTCCCTCCTTAAACATACGCTGGCACGCACAGGGGGGAAGGAGAGCCCCTAAGGCTCAATTCAGGCATGAGACATCGCATACAGTCATGTTCCCGCAGCACAGGAATCACAGCTTACAGCACATGCACCTGCAGCCTAGTCAGAAACCCTTCCAGGCACCACGTGTAAAATGCAGCCTTCAGTGGGCAGCTCCCTCTCATGCAGGTCCTGCTACATGTGAAAACAAGGCCCATACAGACCATCCTGGAGATCTCCACACCTCCCCATCGCTGGCCCATGTCCTCCCATAACCCCATCTCCCGCCCGGACAACGCATGCCTGACCTCCTGCAGCGCAAAGCAAAGCGCCCTGCTTTTCCTCCAGCCAAGCGCAGCTGCACAGCGGTTTGTGTGATCTACTCAGCAGCACTCAGCCGCCACAGAAAACACTTAAAAAGTCACTTAAACCACAAGAGGGGAAGCTAAGAGCCAGCGCACAGCACGCGTCCCAACACCAGCGCTCCCTCTGAGGCCGGCCGAGCTCTGCTGCGCGCCGTTACCTAATGCCGCAGGGTCGCCCAGGCCCGCCGGGTCCCCAGGGCTCACCCTGTGACGGCTCACCCTGACGGCACATCCCCCCC